GATGTGACACTATATAATGTGAGACAATAAGGATTTGTCAGCCAGTAAAGCTTAGGTAATACCATATTATTTCTACTCCGGTAGCAACTACCCTTTAAATGTCTTTGCACGCAATGCAGCAAATCAAAGAGCGGGACTGGTTTATGGCAATATTGGATTTCCAGGATTTTTATTAGGATTTTTTAATCAATGTGATATGGCATAATTTATCAGATATTTAATTTGCTGGATGGCCAAAAAAAACACAGACATTTCTATCGATATTTTTAATCTTTTAAGAGTGTGTCAAGTACTTGTAAAGATTTTTTTTTTTATAATTTATACTGCAATATAAAAGTTGATATACTGATTTTATCTATAGTCACACACCCGTTGCCTGAACATAGTCAATTATTGCCTGATGTCTATTAAAACAGCAATTATTTGTTTTGCTGCCCCCAGAATTCTGCGACCTGTAGTATTAAACTGCATTTGCTGTAACACCATTAAGTATCACCATGTAACACCATTAAGTACCAACCAGGACTGAAATCTTAAGGATTGCCACTCTAAGTGAAAGAGACAAAACATAATTTCCAGCTGACACATTATGTGGCTGCTTGTTGCAACAGGTGAGCCATTAACGCTTGAGGAATATTCAAAAGTGGAACAGCACCATTTGTAAATGAACTTGACTGTAGTTGCAGCGATTTTAAACATGACAAGGATCCGCATACAAAACACAAATAGTAGATGAAAGAGATCAACTAGTCTAATAATCACTGGGGGCCACCTATTTAGACCAGCAGTCAATCCAAACATATATGATCATTAATCAAAAATACAAGTTTTACAAAATGCAAGTAGGATGTATGAGATGAAAACTGCAATAATTACAAGCTCTAGTTATGCACACAATATCTGCTATGATCTATGCTGCCCAAATCTGATCATGGCACATAACAATGTTATCTCCTGCATCACTACTTCAATGCCTGCAGCAACAGACTACATGCTACTTAACCAGCTGACCACCAGCAGCACTTGAATATAGAAGAAAGGCACCCATGTCATGCTCTATTTCTCATTGCCTATATAACTGAGACAGTCTCTCCATTCACCACTGCCTATTTAAATAGGACACTTAACAATGTCAACAATTCTGCCAATTGGTCTGCAAGGTAAGAGATGAGTGGAAAAATATTTCCAAACACTGACATAACCCCATTCTCTAAACCATCCTAATTAAAAAAATAAATATTTTCAACTACCTCAAGAATTATCTCCAGTGTTGAATGAACTCCTCCTGTGTTATCTCTGGGCTGAGCAGGTCTGTGGTAGTTATTGCAGTGTGCAGATTGCAAGTACAAGGTAAAAGTGTTGCGAAAGCAACAAAATCAACTATTTATATTTTTGTATATTTCTATTATTTATTATTAGTATTTAATGTGTGTATTCATTTTTTTAGAAAAGACAGGCATTATCCTTAAAAAAAAAAGACTTTACCTAATGTAGTAAAACTACTTTTGTGCAATGTGCATTATAATTTTTACTTATTTTCAAGGCAACCACATTATCAATGCTATTCACATCTGTTTACAAAAGACCTGCAGAAAATGCCACACCCCCCTCCCCCCTCAGGTAACATGACGGTCAGCTGGTGACCTCATGACAGGTTATCAGTAAACACTGAACTCCTGCTGTTTGTGCTGGTCTTGCCCCATAATTACATAACTGTGGCACCCCATGACCCTCCAACTTTGAAATGTTCAAAAAAGTGAAACTTATATCCTAAAAGAAATCCTAACAAGTATGCCATGCAAACTACAGGAGCAGGAAACAATCGCAAAAATAATATGCAGGAAAGAACTATACAGTAGTACTCAGACTGCCTCAATTATAATTTGCTCTCAATGTGTACTACTGACTGAACTTCACAATGGACACTATGTACAAAAGAAAATAAGGAGGAGCCACATGGCAGGTGGTCGCCTGCTATGGTTTCATTTCAGTATTTAACTGTGGATACTAGCTAGATAATTACATTTCAGCTGCTTAGCAGTATGATCACAAAGTTGTATATGATAATTGATGTTTCCTCACATAAACAAATAAATATGCACAACTCAACTAGTTGCAAGTTAAAAACAATAGGCATGCACTAACCACACACGTGCTCGTGCATCTCTGGCTGCATTTGAAAGCTCGTTAGGTGATTTGTGTTATTGCACATAGATAACTCTCTCCTCCATAGAAACGCACCCAAGAAAGAAATTGTGATTACCTGAAGTGGGACTAATGGGTCTGCATCCTCCGGTTGCCAGACTTCGACCACGCTGGTGGACAACTGACTCAGAGCTTTGTGGGAGCAAGAAATCAAATTAACAGCGAGATGCTAGGGTTGCAAATTGGGCAACATGGAAATGATACCCGGCTGAAAATACAGCACAGTGAAGCAGTCGAAAGAATTAAAACAGCCATCCATTATTATTACTAGTTATTACAAAGGAATAAACTGAAACGGTGTGGGTGTTACTCTCACAGACAAGTGAGGAAATTACTTCTCTTCGACAGGCTGACAAAGGCTGTTTGTTAGCTGCTTGACTAGCAGGAAGGTTAGCTCGGGGGCTAACGAAGTTGGGGAACATCTCTCCTACTACTGCAGTACACACGACTGTTTAGCCGTGTTTGGTTAGTTCACAACATGTTGTAGATTTTTTACAGTGACAACAGTAACCCTCAAATGTCCCTTTTAAATCCAGATACGACGTTACTTCCCTGCCCGTACAGGTTATCGTTTCGCTTAACCAAACAGCACAGGGAACTGGGAGCTAGCATAAACTAGCAGGCTGACAAAACATTAGCTACGACCCTCTTCCCTGTTGGCAAAAACAAAATATGCCTGAGTCACTACTTACTTTACATTTTATTCAGAACATTTTCCAGCCATTTTACTTTGATATGTTTGGGCAATTTAGCCTGCCACCCATTTCCCTATGTAACGTTTGTTGTCAAGTCAGTCTAGCTAACTTAACATTTTCACATTTATTTTTGCAACGGTCGTGTTGCGGTTGTGAAGCTGAAAATAAAGGTGAGCACAAACCTTGCAGCTGTGCCCCTCCGTGCTGCACGCAGGGTAAAAGTAACTGTAGTATTCCTAGTAGTATATTGATCCACGTTTTCCTGTGACAGTGGCTGCCTTGTCGGAAGTCCTGTAGCCCCGCCATGCTGCCCTCTCAGCTAGCAGCCTAGCTTGTGTTTCGCTGCGTTGCTGGTCTTTCTTTCTCTCGCTGAACAGCAGCAGAAGCCGCAGCTCCCTCCCTCTGTCCCGCCCCGCCTCCTGAAACGCATTGTACAGACAACGCTTGCAACATGTCTGTTTACGTGTCCGTTGCTGAAGGTAAACCAAACACAGTTGTCAGAAAGGCATTATACAGATAAATATGCATGCATAATGCACCCTTTACAATTTCAATCTTAGTCTTCTTTATACCTCTTCTGCACTACATTTCATGGGGAAATACTGTACTTTTTACTCCACTACCTTTGACAGCTGTAGTAACTGGTTTCTTTACGTATCATATATTAAACTACTGTACAATATACAAAATAGTTACAATTATCTTCACCAGCTACAACATTAAAATACTGAATACTAAAAATGAATACACCAGTAATAATAATAATAATCTAATAATGGGATATATAAGCCGTAAAATACTCCCAAGGGGCATTATGCATACTTTTACTTTTAATTCCTAGAGTACAATTTGTTAATAATACATTATTACTTACATATATTTTTACTTAAGTGACATTTCCACTGCAGGTGTTTTACCTGTAACGGCATATTTTTATTTTTCAGGATTGCTTTTACAAAAGGATCTGAATACTTCCTCCAACAGTACACTCATTCAGTGGTGAAAACTATTTGATTTATAATATATCAATCACTGGGGCAATTTTTCTGCAGAACCAGTACTTAATTTTGATACTTTAAGTAGTTTTTGTTTACATTGTACTTTTACTTTTAACTTACTATTTAATTAGTAAAAATGTATGCATCAGTTTAGTGTTAAATAATAAACCAAAGACACTGCAATTCTAGTATTTAAGTTAGTGACAGTTAGTAAAAAATCAGCAGTCAGTCAGCAAGTCAGACTCATGAATCATAGTTAAGACAGGTTGGGCAGGTACACACATGAACATACACCCAGGTTACTTCTATGGGTGTGTCAGTTCTACCAAACAAAACTGCAGCTAGGCATTTAGAATAGTTTTATTTTTCTGGATCAGCGTTGCTAGTCACCAGTGCACATATAATAAGGAGCTTAGGGTCACCACAATACACAACATGTAAGAGCACTGACATTTGCATCAGCACATCGTTCAGTGGCAGACCATCCTTATTAGTATAAATAACTACAATAGTATACAATAGGAAGCGTTATAAATAGGAAACTGCCAAATCTTTTAATCAGTAGGCTACAGTATTTTTGCAAGGATGCGTATCGTTCACATTTGTCTCTTAATACTAACATTTTCCTCTTTAATGGCTTACTGACAAAAATAACTTTACATACAACATTATAAATAAAAGGTAAGATATGAATCAACAGAGAACTAACCATATGTTTGCATACCATTCATCTACTGGAAAGAACTGATGAGTAAGATGAGCATGGAGTGCATTTGAAATTTAAATGAACAAACCCCAACACATTGGCAACTAGGTCACTGAGTAAACACACAACTACCTGTTTTACGTTTGGTTTGACAGAGAAATAGGGATGACAATAAGCAGGACAATAGTCATTCTAGATGTGTCATGACAACATTGTTCCTTTTTTTTTTGTTCAACCAGAAAGTGAGTGTGCAGTGCTGAAAAAAAAGTTGTACTTTTGTGACAGGTTTTGAAATGTTGCAGGGGTAATTTCTAAAGAAATGAAAGCACAAAAGATGGGAGGGCTTGTGTAAATGTATGCTGAACACTAAGCTTTGGAAAGAGTATGACTGCAGAAAACAGCTTGTAAAACTCTTTTAATTTGAAACATAAGGTTCTGCAAAAATTAAATGTACAGCACTTGTAGACATAACATATCCTCTGTAATTTAATTCACCAGTCCCAGTGCACATTTTTTGAATGAAGTTGTTGCTTACAAGGTTTTTTTTACCCCCCAAACAAAAATAAATATGAAAACATAAAGGAAAAGTACACAAGCATTGATTCCAAACCATCTGTTTAAACCATATAAATTAGATCACTGGCTACACAGATGTGTTAAGTGTTGATTCATTTCCATCATCAGCTTGGGGTTCTCAGTTTTCATGCAAACAGGTGTCCCAAAAGGTTGTTATCGCACTACTGGTCGGTGCTTCTCTTCTCTGGTTGCACCAAAGCAACACATCTGATGAAGTCCCTCCACAGCAGCAAAATGACTGATATTCATCCTTATTCCAAGCTCACCGGAGCCCATAAATCTGAATCTTGGTGCATTTATCTTACCTCTAATACAGGGACCATAAACTAGAACTGCTGAGACCGGGAATGCTGGCTTCAGTCTGAGGCTTAAACACTTATTGTGACCATGAACTATGGTCTAAAAGCTGGCAGTCAGTCCATGTAGTCAAAGTCCTCAGGGATCCCAAAGGCTTTATTAATGCGGCTGTCATCAAAGGCAAACTTCTTCTTTGTCCAGGACTTGATGGAGAAAATATTGTCTAAACAGCAGAACAGAAATCAAAATCTTTATTTATTTAACTGCAATACACTGATGCACTTTCCTCTCCAGTGTTACATAGTATTATAGATAGCACAGTCAGTCTAAGATCATGCGGATATTCTTGGACATGAGAATGATGGTTGAGTCCAAGAACAAACCATCTGTCTCACTGCTTTGAATCTCTTGCTCGATGCTGTTTTGGCAAAAGTTTGGCCCAATCCCAATGTCCTCCCTAAAACCTAAGCCAGGGGTTCTTAACCTTTCTGGCAGTCCGACCCCTTTTTGAAGTTGAAAATATTTCGTCACGTTACCTTGACGACACTGAAACACGTTGCATACTTTTTATTTTATGTTTTTGCCATTTTTAAGTCCTGCAGGCTCTCGCCCTACAGAGTGGAGGAGAGGTAGCCTAAATGTCAATATATATATTTGTAATTAATCAATACACTATTGTTGGTCAAATAGCATCATTAAGCAAAAACTAAAATAAATAGTTGAATAAACTAAGTGTGTAATAAGGTGACTGCATTCCTCTGACTTCATGTGTGTGCATCTTAAGTTAAGAAAACTTTCAACAATATTAACATCAGCGTAGGTGTCGATTCTTGTTTGTTTACGGTTTTATTCTTCTCTTATAACGCGGATTTGCCAGGATACTTCTCTCGCTTCCGGGCTTCCCCTGATAACCCCCGTGTTTCACGTCATACCACTATGAACTGTGAGCAATTCCCTCAGCCAAAGTCTGCAGAAATGCGGACTTACGAAAAGGGTCTATAAAAGGGCTCAAAATGTCCGCGAGAGAGTCCTCGCGCACTTGACGATTTGACTGTGGGACAGCCCTAAGCCCTCACGGACTTCCCGGGAACGCGCCTCAAAGTCTGTGAGGGGGGACATTGGGATTGGGCCCCTGAGTTATTTTGTCTGAAGATTTGTTTATTACTTCCTGAACACAGAACATTTCCCACCAATGACAATCTCCCACACCTGAAAATAATTTGGGCAATTAGGGTGAATCTGGCGGGTCTTAACGAGGTGATTTGGGATGCAGACTGTATCCAGTGCACCAGTATTTCCCATAAAGATCTTGCTGTGCACATTTGATACCATATGTCATATGTCAGTTAGAGCTGTGTGTCAGGCAGAATTTTAGCAAGTATCTGGAAATTTTCCTGAGATTTAATGGTTTAAATTCCTCAGCCATCAAGAGATGATGCAATAATGACCTTATACTTTAGAATAAAAGTCTAACATTTTTGACTAGGCCTAATTTGTGTGACTTTACTCTAATTTATCATTCCAGTCTATTTCCATTCACCTCTTAAAGGCACTCTGGTGACTGTAGTATAAACTGTTATGAAAGCAGATCATTTAGAGTAAAGTATTTGTTGAATTTGATGTATGATGGATTTACCTTGATATTCATACAAGCAATGGATTTCAAAGCACATTAAGCACAGAACCACATGCACAATTAACATATTATTATATTAAGGGAGGTTAAAATCAACGGAAACTGGAATTGGTTGACGATATACAAAGACGTTTCGTCCCTCATCCAGGAGTGAACATTTGTTTGTTCACTTTTTGCCTCATGTGAGGATGCCAACGATGGTCATTCAGACTTGGCCTCAGGTGGCTCCAGCGATCATAACAACTGTCGTTGTAACATCCAGGAGCACTAATGAACCAGCGGTATCGATCATCTTGACAAAGACCCCACAGAGCTTCAATAGCTGAGTTTCCCTACCAGTTAGTCAGAACTGAAGAAGTCTCTTGGATGAGGAACCAAGTCCAGTTGCCTTTGATTGTAACCTTCTTTGAATAACTATGGCCTGGATTACTGAGAACCTTCACAGACACATGCACAATTGATCTGACTTCATTCACATATCAATCTAAAATGACTGTCTATGAATTAAAAGTGTAGTTGAAAGTGTTTTTAGATGTGATTCATAAAACAAGCTGAAAACTGTGGATGTGTCACCCATTTGAAGACTAAATCACTTACCCTCCTCTACATTAACACCTGTTTTATCAAGAGCTTAAGTCAATAAACTCTGAATCATGTGATAAGTAAAGCCTTTCTCTGAAGTCCTGTATGATCACTGTACTCTAGTTCTGATATGACTATACGCAGTTAAAGTGCAAGTGATTAACTGTGTCAGGGCTTGTATGCGAGTCTTTATGCTTGGTTGTGTCTCATTGTGACAAGGCTGTAGGTTAAAGCCACACAAAATCTTTTTTGAAAAGTATGGTCTGCTGTCACAGAACAAGTTTCAGCCACAGACAATTCAATACATTAAACAGGGTTGTGACCCTCCTAGACTAGATGCTGAAATAACGGCAACTATATAGCACTAATAGCAGCGCATGTTTAATTTTTTGTTTGAAAAAAAAAAAAGGGCACACAGTGATGCAGCCATTTCTTCCACCAAGCCTAGAAGATGTGGCTTTGCTGTGTTGCTTTTGTTGTTTGGAAAAAACACATTTGTTAAAAATGTACTGACAGCCAATTGAGGCTACTGACGAAACAGTGCGTTAGTTGCAACAATACAGCTGAGGACATTACAGCTTGAAGTCAAAAATTGCATTGCACTCTGTCTAAGGCAACAATTGTACACAGGACAGTACTGTGAGGAAACACTTTTATGCTCACTCCTTCCTAATGTTTATTGGTTTAGTAGTGTCCACTGGGGGAAGTACAAGTCATGGAAGAGGCAGATATGAATCATAGTGTATGGAATAAAGCAAGAAATATGCCAACTAAAACCGTCAGTGTAACTTTGTTGACCAGTTACAAGTAATGATGCACACAGAGAGTAAATTATATAACTGCTTATATATGCATGGTGCAGGTCCACTTTTGCTAGTTAAACAGCGTTTCATTTGGGCAGTAAGTAAGTCGCAAGGTGGAAAGGTGTTGTGAAATCTAATTCCTTTAGTTTTAAACACCTGCAACGTTGCTATGTAAATTGCAGATGAATGGTGTGTTATAAAAAACACCAACTGATAAAAGTGTGTAAAGTGCAGACTCGCAGCAGAGAGAGAGAGAGAGAGAGAGAGAGAGAGAGAGAGAGAGAGAGAGAGAGAGAGAGAGAGAGAGAGAGAGAGAGAGAGAGAGAGAGAGAGAGAGAGAGTGTGTGCGAGTCTGACTGAAGTGTCGACATGAAGCATAATGTTACTCTACAGTTCTGCGGTTTATCAGTGAAGTGCATGAACTACACTGAACAGACAGATCTGCATTACATAAGCTCTTTCCTCTATGAAACATCTGTATCCTCACTGATCCTCACAGTTGCATTATTATAAACTATGTTGAACTGGTCATGGGTCACATCTCTTCCAGGTTATTTCTTTATTGTGTGTTGTATTAAACTATTTACCCTGTGTTTAATGATTAGAGAGGCTGCTGTCTGTTTCTTTTTACTTTTAGCTTCTGAAACAGCTGCTTTACTCCAAACTACTTCACTGTATGAACCTGGATTATGTCTGTGACCTTTTGGATGCTAGAAGACAACGTTTAGATCCTGAACGATTCTGTCAGCCCACCCCCCCAAAAAAGTTAATTTACTATTATAAAACAAGGACAACAAGCAAACTCTCCCATTTGAGTAGCTGAAACCATCAAAAGTTCTGCATTTTTGCTTGAGAAATTACTTTTAACGATAAATCAATTATCAAAATAGTGGGAGATGAATCTTCTGTTGATCAACTAATTGATTATCAGTTAACTGTTAGTTCCAGACTCATTACATGTGCATGTATGAAAAAGATAAGACAAGACTCACCTGTCCACCTGGAAACAGCGTCTTTTGCTACAACATTTGACTTTCCTGAAAAACAAAATGTATGATTTGTGATGTGACGTGTGTTAAAAGTGAATTATTATGTGCAGTATTAATTACTCCAATGGAAGGTAAATACTACATACAATCAATTCAAATGTTAAAGTTTCTCTAATTGTATTAGGTAAATGTAACATCATTCCCTTTAGTCATTTTTTTCCATTACTGATCAGTCATGTTACAGATGAGAGATTTTGTGTTGCAAATCCATGTGTGTATGTTTATGAGCAGGGCTCACAGACCAGTCTGTGCTCATGTTAAACAGGCCAAACAAATGAATGCTTAATGTGAATTCCCAGCTGGACATAAATGAAGGTGGGCAGAAAAGCAATATCCTTTCTAGAGGAAAATATGGTCAGTGATGTGATGGTTGGATAGCTACAGCCATACTGTATAAACATGTGGTGATTTACTATCAAATTAAAGCGGACAGTTTAGCCTCCCCTGCAGCTGTAGCTGGAAAGAGCCCATATAGCCCAACCTGAAATGGAGCTGAACAATGTGCTCTAACTGCATAGCTCTCGAGTGATGTGGTAACCCATAAAACTGAATTCCAAAACAGCAGCAGGTAAGGTCATTAAAGTTGCTAGGCACCTGGAATAATCGCTTTACCTTTAGCAGTAGTTAAAAATAACCTTTTGTTCAATCCAACTATCAGCCGGCACCTACTTGGCCACTGTGCTCAGGATACTGGGCTGCAGCATCCTAAAGTCCAGCCAAGATAAGCTTTTTTAGGTTAGACTCAATTTACAGCAGATTCCTCGTTCATGAAAATCAGAGGAACGATCTGGTCCAAGGACTTGATCAGTAGACTGCTAAGGCTGTTCCAGTGATGACCAAAACCATCACTGGAACAGCACTGGAGAGAATCTACCAGACCAGGTTCAACAGGAGGGCCCACAACATCATAAAGGACAGAATAGAATTCACCCCCAGCATAACCTGACACTTCTACCTTCAGGAAGACGCTATAGAAGTGTTAAAGCAAGGAAAACAAGACTGAAAAAACATCAGGCTGGTGAATGAAACTCACCCACTGCCCCTTCCCCCAACACTACAGACTTAGGGTGATTAATTAATGTTGGATGTTGCTGGGACGATTCACAGAATAAGAATGTCATTGTACTTTGTGACAACTGTATACATACAGTTGCTTGAGCCTAAAAGGTGAGTCTTTCTCCGCACCATTCCAGCATTTAAGCATTTATTGATAATGACACAGTGAAAGTTAGATACAAAAATTATTTTTAAAAAACAGCTTCAAGTGGGAGGGACTGAATTGAATAACTTGTGACTCATGGACCTGGAGACAATGTGATTCATTACCATGAATATGGATGAGAATTTGGATGCCAAAAGAAACCACATACGTAAATGATGGAAAAAGGAACACATATTTGTTTCCTTTGGTAAACAAGTAATTTAAGTTATATATATAAATAATCTCATAAATCCCTTCAAAGTGGTTGCAAATAGGATGTGTGAATATGAATGTCCCAATTTTTTATTCTGATTTGTACTTCCTCTATGCCCATAGCTGTGGCTGTGATTACTTTGAGGGGTCTTTTGCCCTTTCCATGTTTGGTGGTTTATAACCCCACCTGTTACCACAGCAACATTTTGACCCGACAAATCCAACTTAAATCAAAATGTTGTCTGTCCACTCATTGGTACAAACACTTATATTTTCACTGGTAATTACAGAGAGCAGGACTGTGCGTTTAATAGTACTTTGGTTTGATCTAATGAGAAGATGAACATTTACTCACTGTCTCCAATCCACAAATGTATAAACAATTTGGTTGCAGTTGGATTCGCCAAAATATTTGGTGGTGTGATTCCCACGTGTTGCCACAACAGCTTATTGCTATCTATAGCCGCGCTTCCACCAGAAGTACCAGGGACATTTTAGTCCCCAGATCTCTTTTCAAAGAACTAAAGGATTCCTTCAGCCCACTGTTGTGTGCATTTCCACCGTGGTCAAAAGTTCTGCGAAGATTAGGCAAATTACCCAGCTGACGTAGGCCTATACTGCGTACAAAGCAATGCACAGGGATCATTATTTAGTAACCACTATCCATCAGCAAAATTTATAAATGAACATCAGATTTGATTGGAATATAATGAAAAAGTCTACCCTACTTTTGATTCTTGAATAACCCTTTAGTATTGACTGACACAGCTTTTAGAAGTAAAAGCACATATTTACCTATTAAAAGTGTTTCTAACTACTATTGGTGAGTAATTATTATATTCATATTATACAATTATTATTTATAATTCAATGTCTAAAAATAACTTTCCTAAAATAACTCAAAACAAAAGCTCTTTATGGTTCAAACGTACTGTATGTGTAATAATGTTGTTGCAGTGTCTCAGGGGTAGAAGATCAGATCCTTTTCATTAAACCTGTCGATACAGACACCAGATACTGCGAATTTACTACAAGGTAAACCTCTCTGTATTCATTAGCAAAATGCACTTTGAGAATCCAAAGTAAAAGTACTCATTATTCAGTTTTTAACTATTATCAGGGCCTCTTTATATTTTTCTGGGAATTTGGATTATGATGATTCAACCTGGGGAGAATTCATATTATAAAAATAAAAAATGTACACACAATGGTAATTTTATAAGCTGATACCAGTATTTTTTTAGTTTATTTAAATTTGACTACAAAAACAAATCACCATCAACGCCAATGCAATACTTGGTTAACTTCAGCCACTACCCATGAGTAGAAAACCACCTAAAACAATGGGTTGTTTTGACTCAGTGTGACTTTAATAATCCACTCTAGCTCTTTTTAAACTTGCTCAGACAATCCCTGCTACCTGCGTGTGCTAATCCATTCTTTCACCAAGATTTTTTGTCTTTGTTATTATAAAGATACCAATTTTAAACAGCTGTTTGTGTAGGTTCGCATCATTTCCCGTTTCACATTTCATGTGTGTTTTCTTGACAAAACGTGGTTTGGAGACCAGCGTCGGGTGACAGAGTCGCGTCGGGTGACAGAGTCGCTGTCAGCTCGTGTAGTGTGAACACCACAACTACTTCAAGACTCCTGTCACATGAGGGCAAGTTGTGTTGTGTGAACAGCACGGCCATCGGCTGACGCTGAAAGTCGTGTGGTCTGCACAAGGCATAATGTGTCAAAGCAACTTATTGTTACTAGGTTAAGTTAACCCAGAAATTAATTAGTGCTATACTGACCCAACTAGGTCATCTTCGACCCAGTGATTTTGATTTTAAATCATTTATTTCTTTATTTATTTAATCACTGGCCTAAATGTACAGTTTTGGAGCTGTGGGGGAGCTTGGACACATGTCTTTCTTATTTCTAATCTTGGCTATGGCCCTTCCTAATATGCATGGTATTAAATAAATATGCAAATAGCAATCTACTGTTTTAGAGTTGTACTTAAGTAAATGTACTTAGTTGCATTCCACCATAAAGATCTGCATGAACCACATATGCATGAACAGGTCTGGGCCCATTTTGCAAGTTAAGTCCACCCCCTCAGCAGTAGACATAACATTCTGTCAAACTCTCTGCATCGCTGCATGCATGTCTCAGTGCACATTTCAAGTATCACTGAGTGGTGATGATTATCTGGTACAAAGCTGTGTGTGTATGGTGTAGTTAAAAGAAGAAAAGAAGACATGTATGCAAGTGGAAAACAATGATAATGTGAAAAACTTATTACTGAGCTTATCTATTGAATCTGTATGCATTACGTGTACCTATCTGATCTGTATTTCAGTATATAACATTCACTGTCTCTCATAAACATACAAGTCGAGGCAGAACATGTATACACAGTTGAGAGAGTGACATTTAGCTGTAGCCTCAACTTACAGTGGACAGAGCCAAAAGCAGTGAGAGTTGTGGCATCTACTTTTACCAACACAAATCACTGAGAGCAACTCCACAGAGTGAATCTAGAGTTCACACAGATGTCCAGTTAATGGATAGGAAGGCCCTGGATTCTACTTATACCCCCTGATAATAAAGATAATCTTTATTATCATCTAATATCACTGGTTCATTTTTAAGCAAGATTACTACTTTGACTTAACATTTTCTACTTCAATGTATACTACAGTTTTATTCATATTTGTCAATATTTCAAGAGGAAAAAACCCTTTTTGGACTCTGATAGCTGTGTACATAAAAAAAAATATCTTTCCTTCGTTTGGGATTGGGACTCCAACAGCTGTTGCAGTGATTAAGCTTGGTAATAAGTTTATCACAGGCACCAGAGGCTGAGTTTCTGCACATGGTCCAACAATGGGATCATAAAGTTATTTCTCTGGGAATCCAAATACTGTAAAAGAAATGTTAAAGGGACATGGTGGTATTTTAGATTTTAGCTTGTTTGGCACCAAGCTAAAAATACAGACTTCTTGTTGTATGGAGCAACTGTACTTCCATATAATATAGAATATTTAACCTGCACACCATAAGCCAGCAGCTGTAGTAAAATTATCTTCTTTTCTGGATTATTTAAATTCTGCTGTGATGTAAGTTCACTTTACATTTAAAGCCATGTGTAGTTTTCAGGGGCCTCTAGCAGTGAGGTTTCAGATTGCAACCATTCCCTTCCCAAGTGTGTGCTTGAACTAATGAGCCAGCCAAAACAGAGGCCGACACATCTGAGACGGCATCACACAAAATGCTGTTAGACCGTAGTAATGTTACTGTACTGAATGGGTCTTCCACTGTGGTGTCCTGCACTGTCATGTTGCATTATTGTTACGTGGGTCACGTAAGTTACAGCGACTGAGACCGGTGAAGATGATGTGTACTTGAGTATTGGTAAAATGACAATAATTTTAAATTAAACAATATGAAGCCAACAACGCCAGATCCAGCCAGATGGCTGCCCCTGCCCTGCATCACCATAGGCCAGTAAAAACAAATCGTTCCACTTTTGCTTTGTAAGGTTACATAATTTCTTACAGGCTACAGTCACTTTGAAATAATACTGGTGGTACACAGGATAGTAATATGGATAATAAGGGTTTTTTTGTTTTTGTTTTTAATCCTTATGCGTAGTTTGTGTTGGAGTCTGTGTTATGCTGGGAGCCAGTATCTGGTGTTAGTTGACTCGTTAGCTGCAGTGTTGTCGCTGTGTACGGTTCAGAATCAGTGGCAGAGAGTGCACAGCCTATGTAAACCAATGGATTTCCTGGAAAATCCAACCCAATTTCTTCACACAGTAAGCAGCATAGAGATCGTTCCAAGCAAAAGAGAAAGCATGTTCACAAATAGGCAATAAAAAGTGATCTGTTGCATTTAAAAAATATATATATAGCCCCTTTATGGCAAATCTCTATGAAAAATGTATAGACTACGACATAGATGACAGCGTCTTCTTGGACACAGTTGGCCTGGAGTGAATGTAATAAGCTTAATGTTTATGTTTACAGATTAGTCAGGGATTATTTGCTCACAGGTCCATATCAATAAACGAGATATAATAGCCATGTTGGACTGGAAAAAAAACTGCAGAACTGTGTGCAGCAGACTAAATGCATGCTTGGAGTAACATTGGGAGGTGCAGGTACACAGACCAGATATTTTTATGACATCACATGTGCATAAAGTAACACACCCCTCAGGTCCCGTCAGGTCAGCTGTAACATCAACACAAGGCAGCATAGGATTTTTGTAATTCCACTAGCTGTGCAATAATAGCTGTGTGCATACTGTAGAAGACGTGTGTAACAGCCAGTAATTACGCTATGGCCGGTGGACTTGCCTTTGTGCATTTAAAAGCTTTTAACTCCAAACCTTTTGACTTGAGAGGGCAGAGATTACAATGTTTACGTAAACCGCAATTAAAACTGACGTGCAAGTCTTTAGATCAGACTGGAAAAAGATGATGCCTCTGTTTCAGCAGGACGGGTCACACTGTTCACACGTACTATCTTGTCTCAACATAGAACCAGTCTGTGGTTCAGGCTGATGACTTAAAACTGACTTAAGAGTGTATCTCAAACGTATGTCGAGCAACCACTTGTGATCAGTTTTCACTTCCTCATCTAACTGTGAGAATGTATGCCTGCTGCTAACCAGAGAAAATACATGTTCTCAACAGTACAACTGCACTGGTAATTGGTGGTTTTTCCTGGTATCATTTCCATTAATGTACCCATCTTTGTGTTGAATGACTGATTTGCTGAACAGCTAAAGAGAGTGAAAAATGTTAATATCTGCCAACTGTACCAAGGGCTTATTTTTATCATCCCAATAACTGACAATTTGTGGGAGGCTGCATAATTTTGTGTTCATCATCTGCTGTGAAACCATTTATTTATGGTAGTTTGAGTCATGTAGACGAATGGTTTGTATCTTGAACGCTGCCCAACTCTTTCTCGCTCCTAAATAAGAGATACTCACTGGATGCAAAAAAAGCACCATCTGTCTTGATGATTCCTTATTCTTTGGTGAGTCCAATTTTTTGGGGGGGAATAAAATCATTCACAGCTTTCAGCTACAGTAGCTAACAAACAATCTTGCTGTCAGATGATTCTATTGTCCACAACCTGGCACAAAACCGCACACAAGATACATGTTACAGAAGTCCAGTGACAACAATTGATTCAACCTTGTTAATGCACAAATCAGCAAACCAATGAATTGCTTGTATTTGGCCCAAATCCACTTTGTACTCAAGCTGCTGTTTAACTACATTGTCACTGACATAACACTCCAGTAAAACGCTTATGCAATGTAATGCAATCCAATACAAATAACAAATACCACCTTTGTAAAGACACGGTCTTAAACATTTACATTTAAAGTTTCACAGAAGCAGAGTTTATTTCTGACTATTATCCTGGACGGTATTGGCTATATTTCTCTGGTCAGTGATTGTAGGTGACTTGATTGATACTGAAGCTTACAGCTGACTTTTTGAAGGACCGGTCACGTTGCATCTGTACTTACTCATCTCCTCAATCACTTCTGGGTCACATTCTCTGTACTTCTCCAACTCTGCCTGCAGCTGAGTTCGCTCTTCTCTCAGAGCCTTCAACTCCGCCAGGATAGAACTTCTCTCCTTCTGCACACAGACACAGAGTTCATTTAGTTAAAAATTTATTGTATAAGTCTAATTAAAATGGATTATTCATTTTATTTCAGCACTTTCATGCACAGATATATTTTTCTGTACAAGGTGGGGAAGGGCATAAAAGTATTCTTACTGTATCTTCACGGCCCACTTTCGCTTTTTCAACTGCTTTCTGTAAAGACTCTTTCCGCTGCTTTGCTTGAGAATTCTTTAAAGTGAAAGAGTTTTACATTAGGCACATTTGACAACAAATGTAGAAAAACAGAGATTTCCATGTACTCTGCCATAAAGTCAGTTCAAATGTTCCTGACAAAGCTGTTTTATCTTAAAAGAAAAAGCTACTAAGAACAACAAATCAACACCGGTCACCACATTTTCTACTAGAGAGCAGAGGCTTCACTGGCCTTTGTAGCTGTTAACTGTCTTGTATACATCCCTAAAGTCTTCATTGAACATGACTCTTCAATGCATTAGAGGCTAAAGATTTATTGGCATTACTAGCTAATTACAGTGTTGTACACTGTACTGTTAATTTGGCAGAGCCAGACCCTTTTTTCCTCTCTTATTTAGGTCATTACATCAGTAAATCTAATCAACGGCTGTGCTGTGGTATCCGTGCCTGTATACTGTAACGCTTATGTTACAATCACACGTCATTATTTTGTGACAGATTGCCAAAATCTGGTGGTCAAGATCCTCTCAGGAGTCACATCCCTCACACCAACAGTCTGCCACGTAACGGGAGAGGGAAGTGGGACACGGCAGACACCGAGAAATTCAAAGACGAGCAGTGTCACTTTCTGTGACAACAACACTCTCACAAAAGCTACCAAGTGTAACATAAAAGAATCCCAGTTCTAAGTTATTAAAAGGAATCTTTTTTTCTTCTGAATATAAACAGTTCTAACAAAATGTTAAAATTAAATTAATTAAATTTAACTGCTCTTTAAAAAATAACCTGCCCGAAATCAGCTATTAATTTGCATTTTCTTCCCATTTTACCCTTCCCTTTCTATTACCAGAAGTGTTTTCTGGGCAATTCTCACCACGACCTAATTTACTGTAAACTACAGAAAGTAGAGTCATCTAACACAACAACCTTTGGTGAAAATGTGTTTTTATACTATTTTATACCCTCGCATAAAATACAGACATTTTTAGTGAAAGGTTTTCAGCTCTGAACATATGCTGTACATCACAGTCTCTGTATAGAGCAAACTGTTCTGCATTCATTGTGTTTTGATAAGTAACACCTGCAGCTTTTGAGATATGAGCTCATTGTTTTCAGGCTAAAACTAAGTCTCCTCACCTGTTTTTGCAGCTCTTCCAGTTTGTGCTTGCGAGCGTTCAGGGCCTTGCTGGGAAAGGCCCAGTAGTAGTTGGATGTACCCACTCTTTCACAGTCCACCATGTTGTCATCCACCAGACTCTGCAGCACTTCTTTCACACTCATGGGAGCTTAAAGCAGCAGAGAGAGGAAGGTACACCTTCTACATTAAAAAGGTTCACACTTTTCTATAATAACACTGCCTTCCCAGTGATACTATTTGTGGATTGCTGATTTAATTTGTGGTCAACTGATTTATGGTAGAGGTATGACTGTTACCACTTCAGAAGACATTAAGCAATATAAGATGTGTCTGACGTTAGCTATAATATTGCATTCTACTGAGGATCTCATTTTTACTGCTGGCAAAGCTCACCACTCAAATGTTTATAAAACTAAACCCACACATCTGCAGCCTCTGTGGCTTTTTTTTATACTTATCTGAGAGAACAATGCATGAGAGGATGAGTTCTTAAACAGTGTCAGCAGTGAACTGTGATACTCCCACACGTTTGTTCAGCTTGTCCACTGTGAAACTGAAAGAGCTTTTCTGCTGTGTTACGGGCTGCTGAGAGGATGTTAAACAGCATCAAAAATAAAGACGAGGTCTGAAAATAAAATTTAAAAAACACTCTGGATGGATCAACCAAACCCTGTATGTGCCTGACTTCCTTTGTCTCTTCTCTGTTCTTGTGATTCAAATAGATTTTCACTCATTTTCAACTTCAAACTATTCTGCCTTTTAATGGTTAAAAGTATGTTATTACCACTCTTTTTCCAATTTAGCTGAGATCACCCCCTTTTCTCACATATTCTTCCCTTCTACAGGAACATGCGCCCATAATGCAGATCTCTCATTGCCCCCTCCCCCCATCACTCAGTAACTACATCATTCCTAAGCAAGGGCATCAAAAACATGTGCTTTTAATCACAGCAACACGATCCAGTTTCTCCTGATTAATGTCCACTTTGAAACAAAAATCCCTCCTCAGTATACTCAAACATACACAACACAGTTTGGTTCCCCTGCAGGGTCTAGAACTTAAAAATCCAAGTTTGTATTTTTATAAACTTCCCCCCGATACTCATAATTTCAGGCTCTTTGTTGACATTAAGGGAATATGTTTTATTTAAAAACCAAAAGTCTTCAGCAGTTCTCTGCACTGCGAGATTACTGCCATTGGTAGGTCTGGTTCTGCTTATACAGACTAAATACAGTTAAGATGCCAACAGCTAATCCTGGTTGCCATGGTAATTTTGAAAGCATGCCACCACAATGTTTTCAAAAATGCAGCATGCAATACCCGTTGACGCCGTCTGTATGGTTTTTGGAAATAAAATGACTGTATTTTACCATAGCTGGTATTCATGTATATTTTATCCAATTTATTATTCTCCAAGAACTCTACGGTTTGATACATTTTTTCTAAAACAAACCATACTTTTTTTTATCTTTGAATATTCACCAGTTGAGGTAACAAAACAAACTGTTGGTCTCACTAACAGCCATGCCTATGTTTCTAAGTCCTGAATGTTTTCATTAAGAACTATATATTTAGCCAGAGTCATGCATTCTTATGCGCGAGTTGTCTTAAGTTGTGGTTGACAGTTCAGAGAGTACTTTTCAGCTTTAAGTGCATGTTCAATTAAAGTTTAATGCAACAATAAACAGCTCTGACTAAAATAAACTTGGGGAAGGTGTTCACAATTATCTGCCAACTGACTGGAAACATATGAGCTCAGTGTGGTAAATGGGCTAAAACCCCAAACAAAAACAAAAAAACACTATCTATGCTCTACGAAAATAATCAGTCCCTAAACTTGGCTGATGTAAATGTTTTGGTGCATTATATTGCGGCTGACTGTCAATAAAGGAAAAACACGCTAAACACGGTAGAAAACTGAGGACGCGCACACAATGATAATCCAATATGTTTCAGAAACACCATTTAACCCATTTATTTTCCATTTCACAGCGATGCACAATGGTTCCACTTAACTGTTGTTTTCATACATCCATGCAAAGAAACTACAACGGCATCAGACAACACAAATGCACCACTGTAGATAAAAAATGCAGTCAACAGAAAATTTCACTCCCGAGCTCACCCTACCCCCAAGATCACTCGTGCCAAGTGAGGTGAACAGGTGAGCGCACCTACTTCTAACCGCGTCCCACACACCCACGTACACACTCACCACCCAGGTGCCAATGCAAATGAAGAACATGAATGCTCCCACATTCATGTTTCTCTTCTCTAAAAATAATAGTGACGTCTCTGCTAACCTTTAGATTTGTTTAATTTATTTAGTTAGAATCCAGCAGGGGAACACACACACAAAAAGACTGTACATATTTTGTTGAACAGGCAGCCAACCTGAACACTTGACAACCTGGACACACTTGAACAGACATTTTAAAAAGTGTCTGATGTTTCTCTACTAAAACTGTTGATCATTACTCACTTATGCCCTTCGTCTTAGGGGCGATCTTCTCAATGTCTTTCAGCTGAAACACATCTTTCTAGAAAGAGAATGAGGGGACATTTTTAAGGAAAACATTTTGCTATAAGTCTGTATCAGTAAGTTTTTGTCTGCGCTTAATTTGGGCTTTGTGGAATATATTATATTCTCAATTGTTTTAAGATATTCAGCAACATGACTTTGCCTTGTCAGGTATTTTTATTCATGGTAGTTTATTTGCCTGATTATTTCTATGCATTGTGTGTTTTGTGTGCAGATGATGTGCAACCTGTTCTGTGTCTGTTTCAGTTTTTTAAAATTACAACACTAAAATCCTCTCAGTGTCACTCAAGAATTAAGTCTTTCCATGTCCATTTATGTTTTGGTAGCACTTTTGTTTCTTTCACAAAAAGTGGGCTACCTAAATCAACATTAGCAACATTCAGTAAGTACAGTGATTAGCTTTAATTCCACGTGGTAACAGTGTAATCAAGACAACACCAAGGGGAAATGGGGGCTGGGATGCCTCATATTATATTCATATGGTTCCTGCTTTAAATCCTTATGCAATGGGAAAACTCACCGTTTCAAAGAAAATCTCCATCATGCGAGTTCTCTTCTCCTCCAAACATAGTCCTTTCTTCTTTGACTGTAACAGATATGTTTAATGTAACATAAGTCCTGGATAATTTCAGGAACAGCAGCTGACATACTATATTACACACTAGCAATAGAATAATATTGCAAGTGACAGTAAACACTGTATGTGGGAGTGCTTGCTGGATTTGACTGTTGGTCTATATAAAAATAAGTATTTGGCGTGCAGTAAGGAAGAAAACATGATCTCTCTTTTCTGCATACATCAGTGTTGTTGTAATGTAGCTTGGATTTTACATGGGTTGCTGCATGCTAATGGAAATTAACAAAACTCCATTTGAGTGCGTCGTGTTTTATTGTATTACTCTGTTTTTTTCCGTGACAGTCAACAGAGAAGTTCACCTTTCCTCCGGTGTATTCCTGTTTTCATACGTCCTCCATTAATGAACGTTAATGAGCGCTGGTTATATGTGGATGGGTAATTAAGATAACGTTAGCAACACAGGAATGAACATGGCTAATACGACGTTCCTGCTAATATGAAAAAAAAGATATTAGCCTTTTGACAGGTACATAGTTCTTTGATTTTGTCGGTAGCTAAAGCTGATGCTACCGTTAGCTAGGAGCTAGCTTGGTAATGATATCCATAGGTCTCTCGGATGCACTGCTACATCGACTGCAGGTAAAGCTAATCATAATGTTTATCTTACCATTTTGTTTTGTTGGTTATATCAGCAACGTCCACAAACAATAACGTGTTTGGCACTCACGTTGTAAGATGTTATATAGTTGCTGTTGTTATTTTTGTATTTGAAACAAGAAAAATACAGTTCACGCAGTAAGCAACTGGATTTCCCGCGGAAGGCTGTCACGGGGTGTTGCGACATTCAAGGCCCCTCGTAAATCCCACAATAACCAGTTCCCGTGGTGACTGTACGTAATGGCATCAGCATGGGATGTAATAACAAACTGTGGCTACAAATTGTTAATGATGATTGTGCTAAATGTAGCCACAATGCGCATAGATTATATGTGCTGCAACACTAGAATAAGTTTGAGAAATATGTATACGTTATACAGTAATTCCACAAAACTGGCATATTATTTTAATATACTGTAGATCAATAAAACCAGTTGTGGCTTCTACACGTTTCCACGTCACACGTCTGAACCTAGCGTATTGCCGGAAAAGTGCAATAAGGTCATGTTTGCCACCGTTTCTGGTCGTTAGTGTCTTGTTCGCTTAACTTTTTATTATTTCCAACTGCAGGGAAAGCAGCATTACTTTATCGGGGAGGAGCGGTGTAGTTTGACTTCACCTCATGATTTTCTGACGCCCTCTGCTGTCTAATAAACTACAGTGTTCAAATAGGGCACCTGTGTCAGACTGGATAATAAAAAAGTCCCTATTTTCAAAACATGTGTATATATTTATAATTTACTGGGAGACAATACATTTTTTTAAAAAGGACATCAGTTATAGTGTGCTGTGCTTGTTATCTCCAGTCATATTGAAAACACTAATCATCACTGCAGGAAAAGTTGTAGCCTAAAGGACAATTGTCAGTCTGCAAACTAATTGATGCCAAACAAAACAAAACAAAAATACAACTATAAATCATCAAGTGTTTTCAGCAGCTGTTGAGTTAATAACAAATGTGCCTTTATTCTACAACATCACAATCAAATACAAAAGCAATATTCTTTCCTATGGGCACTTTAATTCCATTTGGCATTACAAATATAAACAATATAATGGAAAACAAATAATTTAAACAGGATTGTGTAGAAAATAAATGACCAAATTCAGGGTAACAAGTAATGAAAACTGTGCTTGAAGACAAATAGGACTAATAGGAGCACAGTGCATTTTAACAACATACACCTCATCTGCTGAATTACACATAGCATGTTTTTATGTGGACAGACATATTGTTTTACTAAAATACAACTTGTTAGTAGTCCTACAGATTTTATTTGAAAGACACATGGAAAGAAGAGAAGGTGATCACAGTTCTGCAGCCCTATGTATGATGTAGATTAATGAACAAACCCTTTCAGTGAGGTCTGATGCACCCTAATGCAGTTTGTTTTTCTATTTTTATTTTTTAGCCATTTACTAAAATGAAATCAATGTCAAGATGCTTCAAACACAACACACCCAAACACGCACGCACACAGCGGACTGTGAGTCATCATATCAAGTGGCTTTTGTTTGGTACCTTAATTGATCACAACACACTCACACAATCACATTTGTCTTGCACACACAAACACACTGCACGGTTTTGTAAACCCAATTAAGCTTAAGTTATTTAAAGTCATGACAGAACATTGACTAGTCATTTTCATATATAGGTAGACGTATTATAGGTGAAACAGTGGTTCAATTTAAAGTTTCTTTTGGTGATGTTAAGTATGAGCCTGAAATAGATTCCTTTATAGTACGCTTTTTTACGCTAGTAGCTTTTCTTGTGTTCATTAGGAAAGACAGCATGCACAGAGATGCTCAATCATGCTCTAAATACTCTGCTACCTACAGTAGGTGGAGGATTTTTTTTTTTTTCTATTGAACAGGCAAAATGTGAGGACTTAACAGGAAGCTGGAGCTGTAAATATAATTCCTAAAAGGTACCTCTTTACTTTAATTTAAAATCTCACTTAACACATTGTCCAGCCAGTATTTCTAGTAACAAGTGCATTGGGGTTATTTTCCAGTTTTCCTGCCATGTCACAACAAATCAAAAGGTCTAACATATGTACAATACTAAAGTTTTAGTTTTTCAAATCGGTTTTCATTAAGATGGAATTTGAACAAGGTTATGAGTGGCTCTTCAAAGCACCAATCAGCAGCAGCTCTCTGTGAATACCACAGATCCTCGCACTTGATTCAAAACACAAATAATTCCCTCTGTTGTTTCTCTTCAGCGTCAGAGGTCAAACAGATGGCACAATGACGGCATGATTCAAGGATGAATGGTTGAGCGTATGAGTGCAAATGTGACGGTCACTTCATACTAATGAGTGCATGTTGATGTGTGTACAGTTTGTGCGCTGATGGAGAAGGGCTACTATTGCAGGTAGCGGTAGATTTTGAAGCAGTGGTTGCCAGAATCTGCAACCACAACATGTCCGTCAGAGGTGAGAGCCAGTCCCTGTGGGCCGTATAGCGGGTCTGCTGATGTGTTGATGTAGGACAGGAACGAACCGCTGCCATCAAACACCTGAGAGAAAGAGAGCATGAAATATAAAATAAGAATTTGCATTTGGGATAAAACCAGAAGATACTTTGTCTCCCACTCCATTTGCAGTTTATATTAATTACTTGGTATATACACAATTAAGTCATTAAATTGTTGAGTGCAGTGTGGCAAGTCAATAATAACAGCTTTGTGGTTCACTTATAATGATGTCATCCAGACTGAGAGTGAACATAAATAAATGGTGTGAGGTATTCAGTGCGAGCTCCAGCTAGGGGGTGGTATTGGCAAAATCAAGTCAATTAAAATATTGTGGACTATGTCTTTTTTGTTTTTTTTATTGTATGTCTTTTGGACCGGGTGTGTGTCCTTAATAAAAGCTTGATTTGATTGGATTTCTCACTTGACAACACCAAATAATAGCAGTAAATGTCACCACACACTTATTTTAAAATTTGAATCTAATTCCTTTACTAAAAGTTGCATTTATTAATTTCTTATTATTTGTTGAAGAAAACAAATCTTTGAGATCAGATTATACAGATTATACAGTTGGTATATTGCCTCTTCAAATTGAAACAAGCCCAAGTAGGTACACTGCTCTGGGAGAAGAAAGGGAAAAACTTAGTCAAATTATAGTTAGTTTTATAAAGGATGAGAATAGTTTTATAAATAACGATTCACAGTGACTGAAGTTGTTGTTGTTGGGATTTTAAAATTTGCTTATTATTTAGTATGTGAACTAAAGTAGAACATCTATTAATTTTTATATGAAGTTTAGACTCCAATGTATAATCAGCTCTTTCTGTACAAGCAACAATCAGGTACTTTGAATAAATAAAAAAATGTAAAAATGATTGATCGATAAATAAATAAATGATCGATAAATGTGTATGACATTAGGTCTTCAAGGTATAGAAATTAGCTATAAAGACATTAACTGAAATCCAAACAACTATTTCAGCTTGTATTTTATTCAGGCATGTTAAAGTGAGACTTTTTGTACACACCTGTATCCTGCTGTTGCCCCAGTCTGCTACTATGATGTTCCCATTGACATCCACTGCCACTCCTGTGGGGGCGTTGAACTGGCCATTGCCTTCACCATTAGAGCCAAACTTCAGCAAGAATTCTCCTTCTGTGTTGAACACCTACATTTTGGTTTAGCACACAGACAATAATCTTAAATAACTAAAGAAACAGTGACCCATTGCATCACAGTAAACAAAATACACAAAGAAATCCACTAAAGAATTAGTTTTGTCAATACGAATTTCAATATAAGACAAAATTTAAATTGAAAAAGTCAGAGAAGTCATACAAGGCACCATTTTTTAGTAAATATGGATTAACATCGTTTTTTTTAAGCTTTAGAATTATACCTGTAATATAGCCTTCTTCCACTGCTGATATTGCACTTACCTTGACTGAATGGTTGTGGAAATCTGTCACAATGATTTCATTGTTGTTGTTGACAGCAGCAAAGTGAGGGCCTGAATAAAAAAAACAAAACAAGAACAAGGTCTCAGACATGTGTTGTTTTATACTCAGGCAGTAGTTTTTTTTGGAGGACATGCAAGTTGATATGTAGACAAATGCATTAAATGACAACGAAAGACGGGGGGGGGGGGGGGGATCAAGATGGTACTAAAATGTTCAAACTATAACCACTACATGCTGTTTTAGGACAGTTTATTATCTACAGTATGTAATGACCATTTTAAAAAAAAAGAAAGAAGATGTTTGAAACTGATATTTGTGGGGAAAAAAATTCTGTGTCTGCTGGGTTCTTCATATTATTTTGAAAAACCTCAGAAGTCAAAGGATAATGGGATCTTTATGGGTCCTGGTTTGGCATTCGTCTTCATTCCACATGCAGGTGTGAGCTTGTTGGAGAAAGACTGCAGGGGGCAGTGCACATATTACCATTGAGTGTACCTGCAAACTGCCGGTCACCGTTGCCACGGTTACCGAACTTGGTGACCAGCTTGCCATTGGGCTGAAAGATGAAGACGCAGCAGGACTTGTTGTCGACCACGATGATGTGGCCGTTTCTGTCCACCGACACGCCTTTAGGGCCCATCAGCTTCCCTGAGCCAATCTTGTTCTGGATGAGACAAGGATTTTACATTTCTGTTAGGCAGCACCAGAGTTTCATGATTAGAAACAGTAGTTCAGTACAGTAGTATTAGTAGAGTGATATTGTACATTTCTTACATTTTGCCATTGTAACTGCTGAAAATGTAAGTAAGAAAGTAGGACAACTTTTATCAAACTATCTAAAGCACAAGTCCAGAACAATTAACTTTAAAAATCTGCAATTTCATATTTCAAGAGGGAAGTGAAAACCTATATGTGCGCAACCCTGCAGAAATGTGCAAATGAGATGTGAAAGTTGCAAATGACCTAAAGCAGGGCATAGAGTGCACCTGTTCTGTAGTTTGAACCACAAAAAAAGTGACATTAGTCCACAATTTATTTATTTATTTATTTTTTAAATACAGTAGTGGTATGGGGCAACATACAATTTATTACCATTATTTATGGCAGCACCCTACATGGTTATTCTGTCACACAGAGAGTCTAAGTATAGAATAACGTTAACAAGAGATTATAGCTCGACTTACCTTAAACTTGCCTTCACTTGAAAAGATGCTAACCCATTTGT